ACGTTCGGCAAAACATCAATCAATGTAGGAACTGTACGATATCTGCACCAGTTCAGACCCGAGAATGGTGCACATATCGAATATTTACTGTATAAAGTAAAAATCCAGGAAGAATGGAACAGTATATGGAATTCCCATCCAACCAAAATCCACAGAATAGTCTCAAACTTTTTCGAAGACACTCTACGAAAACACCTGACCAGGAAGGAAAGAATAGTCCTTGACCGCCTAAGAACCGGCCACTGCAGATTCACACACGAGTTACTCATAAAAAAGACAGATCTTCCCATGTGCTGTGGAACCTTGCTTACAGTTGACCACTTCCTGTACTCGTGCCAAAAATACCGTATCCAACGATTGAAACTCGAACTCAACTCAACTACCACCCTTACATCAAAAAAACACACAAGAAATACCATAGACTTCCTGAAAGAAACCAATCTCTTCTACAAGATGTAAAACCAACTCAGAAGCCGTCGCTAATGACCTAGCCGTTTTAGTGCCACGCAGCGCGATCGCGCTGTTCGCGTACTGTGGTGAACCGTGTCGCTATTTTTGATCACGATCGTCAATTCTTGTCGCGAGTCTGTCGAGAGTTTCTTCCCGTAATTACAAATTTTCTTTCAAATAATCGTAAACAACTTGCATAATTAGCTGTCTTTCTTTAACACATTGAGTCCCAAGGTTTATTTTTAACAATATTTAAAAATTGCCTATCAATCTAAAGCGCGAGTGCGCCGAGCGGCACATTTCGACGAAAAAAAAAAGAGCAGCGCGACCGCGTCGATCGGCATTCTTCGCAAATATATGAAGGAAGCGCTATCGCGCTTCATGGCATAATTCGACATGGATTTTTAAAAACCTCTGGCACTAAAACGGCTAGACGTTGATGCGACGTAAAACCTTCATTTAAAAAAAAAAGTTATTTAATATAGAAATCGCATGAAATCGACTTTAGTAACTCAACAAATGTAAAATTGTTATTCTTAAAAATGGTTGATTCAAAAATTTACTAAATTAATAATATTATAATAATATTCCAATATTAAATGAACATGGTTTAATATTGTAATTTATTGAAACCGAAATTACATTTTTTTTTGTAAACAAAAATTCAGTAGACTGTAGCAACTTCTATTATTTAATTGAAAAATATAAAATAATATTCTTTCCTCGTGTTATTTATCACTAAAGACGAATAAATTGTCAAATTGTCTTATAAAATGTTACAACAAATTGTTTTATTAAAAAAAACCATCAACACAATACGTATACATATATAGTATATCAAAATTTATACATAATGTGTGCTGAACTCGCGCACGTTTATTCGAAAGAAATTAATCTTTTGAATAATATTTTAATATGAGTCCGAACGGTTGACTCTGAAGACGTCCTAAACTGTGGACTCGTAAAAATGGCTAAGTCCGTCGCGAATGACTCGTGAAATTTCTAAATCCGTAACAAATGATTCGTAAAATTTCTAACAAGGGACATTACCCAATCGCCAATCGCTGATTTTGATGCGCTTTGAGTATGATATAGAACGCAAAAAAATATTTAACACGTATTTTTTTTTATCGGTCATCGTCCATGCTGAAGGGGTGAAAATGGCTCCCAAAGTTGGGGTTGCAAAACATATTTTCTCGAATATCTCAGGAGCTATTAGGCCTAGACAAAAAATTAAAAGTGCAAATTTTTCTGTTTTAGAATGCCAATAATATGGCCTAAGTGGATTTTTGAAAAATTTATTTGTTTAAAAAATATGTTAAAAATTAACATTATTTTGCAAATTTTTTTAATGAAACTTTGTACTATTTTGATCAAATTTTGCACATATAAACTATAGGTCAAAAGACAAAATACGGATAAATTGGAATTTTTAATTTCGCTTGTGGAAAAAATATTATTGTCGTTGAAGTTATACGTACATTTTATACCTTCCGTTCGGTGCACAACTGATTTCTATACGTAATATTCTGGTAATTGTATTATATTACATTTTTTACACTAATTTATTTAAAAAAAGAATTTGAAGGTCCAAAGGTGCCTCTATAAAAATATGTCGTTCGAGTCATATATCGCATTTGATGCGCGTTATGTGCGCGTTCTGGTGGCAGTATTCGACGCACGGAGGATCTTAACGCGTAAATTGTACTTGTGTGAAGTGTAATATCTTCATAATGATGTAGAATACGTGCAATTAAAGGAATTACATCTGTTGATCAAGAATTGCTTCACGATTGTAAGATATATAGGCCCACCAAAATTATTGTCTTTTTATAATTTTCCAAATTGTCTTTTATTTTGAAATGAATTTCTAATGTATTATAAACGGTAGTAAACGTAAAAGATGTAATGAAGTTATGCATTATGAAATCGAAACGGATATCAGTATTTGTCAGCGTATATTTTGTAAAAGTGACATAGTTTTAATTTGATTGAAACTAAAGTCAACGGGATTATAAAAATGATCAAATCTGCTACTGATGCAACCATACTGTAACCATGCGTGCTTAAACAGTTTTTTCTACCTAGGTGCGACAATTGATTATGAATTAAAGGACACATTTTGATAATTATGTCCCATGCCCGTATATTAATTTGTAAATCTAACGTAGGCAAAAGATTTAATATTTATTGCGCGAAATTTTTCCATGTTCTATAACCACATACATCAGAAGGTTGTATTAATCCAGTAGCGATTTTTTATCTCTTGCGCCCTGAGCGCGCCTTTTTTGGAAGAGGGTGGGAAAAAATACCGATGAGTACGGGAGGATCTCGAAGGCCGGCAACGCCGGGGTTTTTCCCTCCAGGTGACACGCACGTTGTCCTAAAAAGTACCGCTAGGACGGAACCGAGGCCCATCCTCGGTGACCCTTCGGGAAAAACCCTGTTTATGACGGAGTAGTTATTGAAGACTAAATGAAACTTAGAAATTCTAAAGGCATTGTTCGAAAAAATGTAAAACTAAATTGCCGTCGATGGCTAAAAATCTGTCTTTCAAAAATAACTGTTACCCGGACCCATCATAAACTACCTACGAAATCCTCGCGTATTGTGTTCCGTAGCACGTTCGGAACATAATGTATTAAACTTTAACTGTTGAATCTTGAAATAGTGATTGTAGATTAAGCTACAATAGCTGTAATACATTTAACTGTACACTTTGTTATTATATTACTATAAAAAACTTTGTGATTATTTTTGGGATGTACTACAATTACATTACTGAAGCATTACAATAAGTAATTCTGAATGGGCTCAAGAGATTCAGTTGCCGACCATTATTTGATAAAACAAAGGTAGGGTAGAAAAAGGGTAAAAAGAAGTAATGGGGGTCATTTAAGGTAGGCATAACCATGTGACTCCCCAACGATAACTACACGATCCTCTCTACCAGCTGGTCTATCTCTCACCATTAGCCCACACGTACCTCTACAAATCAGCCGCTTGTAAGTGGCCACTCCAAGCATACTGTGTAGTGTACGTACTTCTGTATTATGTATTATGTAGGCTGATCTTTGGTATAGTAAATTGTTGATATATTGTTATATTATTTAACCGGATAGAAGAAGGAATCTAGAAAATTTGATTACTTAGAAAGTATGAAATTTTGAAATGTAGTAGAAATTTGGCAATTAAAAAATGCAGGAATTTGAAAATTCGGGAATTTTTAATTAAAAAGGTAACAAGGAATCACTCTAATGATAAATAAATGATTAGCGATTAATTATTTATTTGTTATTTTTATTTTACTGAAGTTATAAGCGTATAATACCAGACATTGATAACATGTATTCAGAAAAGTTATTTAAAATAATGAACAGATTTCAAAGTCATGAAAATTTGTGAAGAGGCCGACTTTTCAATGATTACAAAAGAAATTTAGAATCATCGCAACTATATAATTTTTTGTATGTAATAAAAACGGTATTACATTAACTGATTTAAACGACCCTTTTTTCTCCTCCTGCAATGTAAGATATTAATACGTAGAGGAAGTGCTGTGTTTCGACAAAAACATAGTGACAGACTCTACCACATAAGCGAATGTTTCGGATTTGGTGTTTCGTTTATATCGTGTAGTTTTTACGTTGTTTGAAGTTTGTAGAACATAGAAAAGGATATCAGGTCTGAAAATACTGAAATGACTTGTTGGAAATTTAGAGTTTATATAGATGCGTTTGTTAGAATGCTTTCCGGATTACAAGGGAAAGTTTTATGAGGCTAAACGATAATGAATAGTTGTCAAGGGCCATGATGACGTTGGTGTCCTCAGGGCCAAGGTTTTGCCGAAAAGGCATTCTTGTGCTGACTGTGAGCGTGGTAACACGTCACAGAATTAAACAGAATATTCAGTTTGGTTAAATTTTCGTATAATTCTTTAATTTACCTTTTTCGGTCATTTTCCTGATTTTTTCTATAGACTGAACATAAACTGAAATTAACATATCGGTGGAACAATTATATTGAAAGTATACATCGTTTTTTACGAGATTATTACCAACATATTTGTGATATTTTCCTGATTAAAATGAGACCAAACACGACGTAAATTCGGAACTTACAGTATTGCCTCGAAATAAGCAACACGGTCGGGATGGGCCAGTTGTTTATTTCGAAGGTAGTTTGCTGTTCGGCTTGCTTTTGTTTTTTGAACCGCTATGTGTTAGAGTGAGAAAACAATATACATGTTTTTTCTTGTTTTCACTATATTATTCGGTCAACCGTAAAAATGATTAAAAGCTGAATTCTATTACATTTCTCAGTGAGCGAAGGTTCTATTCCCAGTAGTGGATAATTTTTTCGCTTACACCTTGTAGATTATTTTCACTTATATCGGACCTTTATTGCATTACGCAATGTAGCTGTCGTTTTCACAGTCGGTTCAATGTGTAATATGAGACTAATAACAATATTCTACGTCATAGGCTCTTAGCTTTATATCCTTAACTTTTTGCTATTATTCATATAACTTATTTAATAAAAACTTCACATGGTCAAGACAATTTGTATTTATTGTTACTTAATTACTTATTAACATAACTAAACAATAATTAGCAAAAATTTAATTATGGGACGGGGCCGCAAAGAAATATTTATGAGGGGTCCTCCAACTGCATAAGTTTTAGAATTCCTGTTTTACGTTCAAATTTGTTCACTATATCTATCACTATATCTCATTTTAACATACATGTTATTTATTTGCTATACAGGATGCAAACCGACCTGAGTGGAGGACCTGGTCTCGCTGTGGTAGCGGGAGATGTACTTGCTCTCCGCGGAACAGGACTTGCTGCTGCCGAAACATGGGCTCTCCTATGTCAGGCAGCCCAGGCCCTCCAGGACCTGTTCTTGTCAAGTAAGCCTTTATCAAAAAATATTCTAACTAGTTAACTGTGTTCGATATGTACATATACATGTCAATCCAAGAATTCAATTCGATGCAGTGGACATTAACGAATTATTAATTTTTGTCGAATGAAAATGTAATTTCTTTTTCGTTTTATTTTGTTTTTCATACTTACGATTGGTTGATCTTAATTAAGCATCCAGCGAAGAACTTTTAAACTTAAATTACGCAGTTAACGAATTAATCTGTAATATAATAATAATAATAATAGAAATGTTATATTATATTAATTACAATTTTTCTCTTTTATTAAAGATTAAAGAAATACTTTTAATGGTAATGGAATATGCTTATGAGTATTAAACAAATAAAGAAATACTAAATAATTAAACAGAACACTTATAACTTTTTGAAACAAACTTTATATATTTAAATGAAGAAAACTAAGAAAGAACTACTTAAATAACTTGTTACGGATAGAGCTGGCCAATTGAGGCATTTCAGAGCATGGGGTGAGAATTTACAGATAAACATAAGATTTAATGAATTTAGCGGGGTTTTCGGGGACGACTGGTGAAAAGCAGCAGGCATGGCGAATTTCCATGCCTCGAAGCCCTACGTGCACGGGGAAACCTGTGGCCGTATTCGTCGAACACCATGAGTGTCTCGGCATGAAAAACACCATCGTAGCACCGGGGGTAACCAATCCGCCCGGGAGTGGTGGTGCTCACCAAAACACCGAGGGCCACTCCGCTCGGGAGAGGTGAGAACCCGGGCGGGGGCGAGCTTGCTTGCCCTGCGCTCCGGCTAGCTGTCTGCGGGATCGGTCGCACTCGAAGACGATAGATAATTAATTTTCTAAGAAATGTCCACGTGCGTGGTGCACGTGGCAATGGCACGTGGCAAAAGTGACACGTGGCACATGCTCTGAAATTCCGAGGAAAAGGCTAATTAATAAGTGTTTGATCCACCGCGAAATGCCGGCGAACCCAGGTGCG